CCGGGCGGGCGGCGCCCGTCTCCACGCCGGGGCTGGCTGGTCCCAGCCTCCAAACTGGCATCCGCGTGACCTTGGGACCCAGCGGGGACAGCAGTGTGGACACCTCGCAAACCTCCTTCCTCTGCCAGGACCGCCCCGGCTACGCCTGCCCTCGGCTGCCACAGTTCTCCGGGGCACAGCCCTGCGCCGGCAGCCCCAGGGAGATGCTGGCAGCACAGAGGATGGCAGTCAAGCAGGGAAATCCAGCCAACGATAACAAGGGGAGAGTCATCAGCTCGGACCGGCCCTCGAAACTCATGTTTCCACTACTCGAATGAGAGGGAGCGGCTTGGGGCTCGACAGCCTTTTGCTGCAAGAGAGGGGGGATTCGGTCAGACAGACGGACTGGGTGGGCTTTGAGAGGAAAACCTGTGGGAGAGGCCCTTCCCCAGCCCTGGTCGGGGATGGGTCCCCCCAAAGCCACCCACAGGAGGGACCTCTGCTCCCCTGTACTCCCCCAAAAGGAGGGATGCAGGAACAGAGACCTCTGCAAACAGAAAAATATACAGCATGCTCCCAGAAGAGCATCCCCGAGTCCAGCACCACCTCCCAGACCGCAGCTCCCGCTGCCCCAGGCAAGATGTGGACCCACAGACGAAGCTGCTGAGCAGGCAGGCAGCTCCCCCCGTCGCTGGAGGGTACCTGCCCCCCACGTACGTACCTGCCCCCCACGTACTCCGACTTGGAGCGCACTCTGGAGCTGTGGCTGCCCCGACTGACTTGCTTCTCGATCAAGTGCTCTATGCGGTCGTGCATCTCCAGGTTCTGCAAGAGACGGAGCTGTGGTTAGCGACGGCAGCTGGGGACAGGCGGGCCGCGGGCACATGGATCTCTTGCCGAGGGACGCTCCGGTAGAAGCTCGTGCAATGGGGCAGCTCTTCCTCGAGGGAAATGAAGCCCAGCCCTACGCAGGGGCAGCTCGCCACAGGAGAGCCGGGGTGGTTTGTAAGACCTGCTGCACACCCGGCACGGAAACCCACCAGCACATCATTTCTCCCACTGGATGTTTTCTGCCTGTGCTGGCTGCACTGTCCCCATGCCAGAATTAGCAAAAGTAGTCACCAAGGGGCAAAGAAAACACTACAAGTGCCAATGCAGGCACCGTTTTCATCTAAAAGGAGAGAGGTTTGACGCTTGTTACGGTCCTAGAGGCTGGGATGCAATTTTAATTTCCGACGCGCATGCGCTCAGCTGCAGCTTTGTAAGCACGAGGGGCTTTGCTGCCAGAGAAATGTGCTCGATGAGGTTATTTTAGACTCAGCTGGAGCTCACAGCTGCTCCAGCAGCACGGGGAAGCACTGCACCAGCGCAGAGAGCCCGCACAGCCCCCGGGGCAGCAGAGGGGACGCTCTCCTGTGCGAAGCCGGCGGCAGCGCAAAGGAAGGGCTCATCCCCGCGAGGGAGCCCGGCCACGACACGCAGGCGTGCAAAGCCTCTCACACCGAGAGGCTTCAACGAGAGGGTCCGAGCTCGGAGCAGACCCCGTGCACCCCCCAAAACCGCCCCACCAGGACGCACCTCAGCCTCCAAGTAAGCGACCCGCTCCTTAAGCTCCTGGATCACGGCGTCTTTGGCCTGGATCACCGTTTTGGAGTTCTGGAGCTGTAAGAGAAAAGTTCATAGCGGCTGAAAAATCCCTCTCCGGTACGGCTGGGCTGGAGAAACGTGTAGGAAGGAGGGCAGCTGTGCCACCCCTCTGCCTGTTAAGACCCACAACGTTAACTCCAAGGTCTGCACACCAACCAATCCAGAAAAGCCTCAAATTAAGTCTGGGAATTAAGCCCCAGGTGAAGGAGCCTCGCTCACACAGCTTGAGATTTAACTCTTTCAGCAGGGCAAGCTGGGAGCACCGCACGCCTTTTGCACGCCCTCTTGTGTG